GAAAAAACGTCTTTTCTCTTCCACTTTTTATTTTTATTTTTAAGCTACCGGTTTCTGTTCAAAAAATTAAATTAAATATTAATAATATTATTGAACCAAAACCGGTAACCTAGAAATAAAAATAAAAAGTGGAAGAGAAAAGATGTTTCTTCTTTCTACATAATACTCATCACCACGGGAAAATAAATCTAAATAAATGTAAAGTATTCAAATAATTTTTAAAATGTTTCAGAACTTATTTTATCCAAAATTATAACAAAAGACTATATACAAAAAACAATTAGAAACCATATACATATTCATTTAACAATTTCTTGAACTGACGTCATCAACTTTTGGATTGGATGAATATACCAAATTTATATAATGTTTTGACATGATTATCATACGAAAAGTAAAAATATATACGAAAATCCGCGCGTTTTCGTCTATTTTCAGCTGTGTAAGTTCATCATCTTGACAGGCCTCCGAAATTTTCATAAATATTTAGTAATAACAACAAACTACACTTAATTTTAATTCACGTAAACCAAATATAGGTATGAACATTTATGTCTTCCGGCATTTTTGACACTAAATGTTTGTTTAAGTAATTTATTTATTTATGAAAAAGAACAATTGAACGATGTTAACCAAAAACGTACTAAGCGCCAAATCGCAAAAAATGAGTTAAACACCCTAACAATCAGAATTTAATGTCAAAAACTAATTTGTAAAAATACTTTATTTGTCTTAATTATTTTTATACCAAAATTTGAGGTAGAACTATGCGCCTTTAATAAATCTGGGATTATGTTTTAATCAAAAAGGTACCAAGTGACACAGCACTTTTTTTAATTGATTGTGCAGTGCTTTGTTTCCTTGTAACTATCCTACAAACTTAGTGTTTTATAAGCGTCAATTTTGGCTTTATAACGAGAGTATTTATTCCTGTAGAACAAGGAATTTTATTTGGAAAAAAAGAAAATACGTCGTGGCGCACAAAAGGTGGGATATTGTCTTAGCAGCTTAATACCTACTGAAAATTTTCCAAAAAGGATATAACAGAACTAACTCTGTGGTCTGACTCTTGTGGGCGTCAAAATAATAACATAAAAACTGTATTCATGCTAAAATCAATTTTATAGCAACATTCTACTTAACAAACGATTTATTTGAAATTTTTTTGTTTCGGAACATAGTTTTTTACCAAATGACAAAGATGTTGGAGTCATTAAGTATACATATACGCCACAAGACTACGCCAATATTATGTTAAATTGTAGAAAGAAAAATCCACTTATTGTTTATTTTACTCAGAAAGAACATTTTTGTAGTGAAGTCGATTTAGAATCTAGTGTCACAAATAGAAGGCATACATGAACAAAAAATTAGATGCTTGAAAACAAGAGTGATTAAACTTACTAAAGATAAACCGCTTTCTATTTTAATGAAAAGTAGTCAGGAAAATGAGATCTACAATGAAGTTTTGATGCATAAAAGGAAAAGATTTCTTTCTTCAATTTTGGAAAATTGTCTACATTATGGCCTAATGGAAAAGCAATATCGCGCAAAAAGTTGGCAGATCTAAAAACATTATGTCCTTTTATTCCCGAGGATGCAAAACTCTTTTACAAAAACTTACGAGGAATAAACTGTGAATTTTATGTGGAGGGTTTTTGAGATGATATCGATTTCGAATTAGGGGAAACAAATTTAATTTATTAATCATTTTTGTTTTTGTTTCATGGCATATGTTGCTTTTATAGCGGGTCGTTAAATTAATTTAAATATATATAATATTATTCAAAAAATTACTTAGTGCGTTTTTACGAAATAATAAATTTAATATCATGGTTTTCTCAAAAAAGAACCAAGCGCCAAAATCCTTCTTTAAAACTGTAAAGGACTGAGTGTTTTTGATGCCATTAACAAAATAGACTACATTCATAAAGTCATGTATTCTTAAGGCAAAAATTTTATTCCGACATTAATACAAATTTTTAGTTTTTAATGAAAGTTTACTCTAGTATTACTCAAATTGCAATTTTGTCGCTTAGTACGTTTTTGGTTAACGTCATAACGTGGTCCAATTCATCTACTACATGATGTACCACCATTAGGGAATTGATTACGTTCTAGCGTTATTTTTAAGTATATGTTAATTTAGAATTACATACATACGTAGTTAGTATTTACACAGCAGTTACATCTCAGTAATTTCAGATTAATTAAAACTACATTTATTCAAACATTTTTACTATACGAACAAGGGAATATCGTAATAAGGCGATTGTAACAAAAATTTATTGTCTTATTTTATCGACATTTCAAGGCTCGTAGAATACGATTTCCGTTTCCATTTGCCTGTCATCTATTTGTCGGTGTCTCTCTCTTGCGGATTGTATTAAACGAATATTTCCGAAACGAAAAAAATAACTAAAATTTAGATTTACTTTAAGATTAATTTGTTTATTCCTCCCTACAAAACTATGATGACGGACATTTTAAAATTTTGTTGAGTAAATTGCATTTGAAATGCATAAAATAGATATAAGGATCTGAAATTTTATTAGGAGTCCACACTTTTTAGGATGCTACATGTTAACGCGTATTTTATTAATCATTAGCAACTCAGAACGAAAAATCTTTAATATACACTATTAAATAAAAAACTTTTAACAAATTTTATTGTAACATAATTATAATCACTAACGAGGTATAACGACAAAACTTTTTTTGGACATTTTACAAATTCAAATTAAGTCCGTTATAAAAGTTGTCAGTTTACATCTTTGTACGTACACCAGGCGGGTTGTTTGTTTCTAGAAGCCATAAATGTAACTGTACAAAATTCTGTTTTAGATCAACAGATACCAGTGTAGCCATATCCTAGTTGTTGTTAGGTTAGTAATCTTATTGGCAAGAACAAGTAAAATCCAATTACTACCTCCCTGTTCTTAAAATGTAGGTCACCTGTTAACAGTAACTCTAAAAGCCCAAAAAGCTCTATCAGAAATAATGACTTTCTTTTATGAAATGTGTAGGTATATAAAGAGCCTTTGTTACGCATATCCAAATTTCGAAGGGAGGGAAAATATATTGTTGTGCAAAAATAGCAATTAAAATTAAATTAGTGTTGTGATAGGAAAGTATAAAATTAACTAAATTGCTATTGAGTGATGTAATAAACAGTGTGGTCACATCCGGTGACGTCACAAGAGAATCAGAGCGGGGCAGAATATTCGATCCGGAGACTAATAAATGAACTCTGACCTTGTTTTCCATTGTATCATCTGCCGAACAAAATGGCGACCAATAGAAAAGTGCTGAAATAACTGCCTTATTTTGTAAAATGTGCAGTGTGTTCATACAATAAAATTAGTATCTAGGGAACAGTTCAAGAGCTGGCGCAACATTTGGCTCAAATGAAGCCTCTACCTAATACAAACCATATCTTTTTTTCAGTAAATAATTTTGAAAGCAAATTGTAACTACATATATTCAAAAAGCTTCTGAAAACATCTACAGTATAAATCACGCCCCTATTTTTCTAAAAACATTACATATACCTAAAAATAGATTTAATGCTATAGTGTAATTTCTTTTTAAAGGTAAATTTATCTTCTTCGTCGTAATCTCCACTAGGACACATTACTACAGTTTACGAACTCACTTTTACTAACGCTGCTTACTTACTATCATACTATCCAGTGAATTAAAATGTATTTTACCTAAAGATTACTTACAATTTATTTTTTAAACAGTCCAAGTAAGTCCTAATTTGGTGTATTTTTAGGATTATAGTTGCTTCATTAAAAGTTTGCGAACTTCGATGGGATACGAATAATATTCTTATGAAATGTGTAAATGTTGTCAATAAATAAAATTTAGGGACTATAAATAATAGCGTCATTATATATTTTAAAAATTTCATATGCATTGTGCTACTTAATGTTGTTTTACAATACCTAGATTATCTACAATTTGCAGAGCGTTGTTTTGCTTTAAAATGTAACAGAAAAATAGTGTTAAATTCTATCTTAAAACTAAGTTAAACAATTTTCTCATATTTTTGTCCGAGTACCTAATACATATTTGATTGTTGTAGAAGTACACATATTTTTAATGTAGCAGACAGTTGCCAGTAAGATTTATATTATTGTTGTTATTCTTTAGATTTACATTATAAAAGTTTTCGTTTCACAGTTTTTTCTATACATGCCCTAGGTACTATTTTTTTATTTTATGGGAACACCACCTTGTTTCTTATATGGTTTTTAATATTAAAATTGTGACAAAGAGAAAACGGTTCCACCTGATATAAAACATTTCACCGAAATTACTATACTCCAATATCTATAAAATAAATATCTGATAAAAATATTCTTCGAGATTAATTGGCTGTAATAATATAGTTTTATTTTTAAAATTGCTTATACAGGATCTCTCACAGAAAATGAACGGTGCAATTTATTTTAGTGATTAAATGACAGTCAGTTTAGTGTACCTGTTCGAAAATCTGGAAACAGCATTGTTCTGACTATTCGAGTTATGTATGCATACTTATTTGATGTGTTCTCAAAATTTTATTAAGAAAGTTTCACTTTAGCCTAGCATAGCATGCTCCTTCAGATTAATAATTAATTATTAGATTATAATCTAACTTTAGACTAGTTTTTTCATGTAATTTAATTGTAGTTTATTGTGAGGATTACAAAGTTAATTAAAAATATGACTATAAATTACAATTTTACCATTAAAAATTCTAATGTATGTAGAAAATAGAACTATATCAAAACATGATTGTAGGGTATTTCGTTGAGAAAATTCCAGAGAATCTTTCCAGTGAAATTGTTAAATATTGACTCAAAAAATATACTTATAAATTTAGCTTTGTTTTAACCATTTAATAAATTCGAAACGGGGAAAGTGAGCCTGTTTCCTCAAAGTTTCTATGTAATTTACCGCCCGCATATAGAAAAGTTTAATCTACTAAAAACGTTTTTGTGTGTTCCCAGAAACTTTAAAACCGGAATCTGCTAAAACTATTACATTAACCTCGAATGGGTGTACGTTGCCAAAAGTAGAGGAATCTTCAGACAACAAAGAAATTAGCACAGACGAACTACTCAAGGATACAGATCTTGAAGTAGCTGCTGTGAAAATACAGGCAGCCTTTCGTGGTCATCAAACAAGAAAAACTATGAAACAACCTGCAAAACACGAAGAGAAGTCATCTTCGACACAAAATCTCGAGGAAGAATTCAGTTCCGAGGATAAAGGTAAGAAATAATCGAAATGAGATCTTTTAACTATATAAACTAAAGTTATCTTTTCTATTTATTCTTATATTTTTCTCTGTTATAATTTAGCAGTTTTCTGTGTATATAAACACTGTTTGTAAAACCCTAGGAATTGCATCATGCGTTTATAACTTTTTATTCATTTTCGTCAATATTATATTGGAATAGTTCCCATTTAACACCTTACAATTATCCCAACGTGCTACGTTCTTCGATGGACGTTTTGATCTATGTTTATTCACCTGCTCCTAGTTAGTTTTTTTTAATTAAGTCCGGAAAATGTATTTCACGCAGTGGCTTTTTTAGTTCTAAAAACAAATGGTAATCCCTAAGTACTAAGAAAGGAGAGTTAGCTGGATTTGGAAACAATTCCCATAAATCATATAAAACTTTCCTAATTCTTACGGACAGTGTGAAAGCTAGCATTGCATCCAGTATGGGACGGACGTGCAACTTTCCCGGCGTTTGTATACTACACGCAAACATTTAGTGTCTTTATGGCTTTCACGTACTGCCCCGTGATTTTACCAGAAAAGGTCCTTTCAGGTAGGTTATCAGTAAGCGGCTGTGACGGCCTACTGAATTATAATGGGAGTTAAATTGGTGTGTTGCCATAAACGCACTAAACGTTTGCGTGTAGTATAGCTTACGCTCAGGAAGTATAGCAATAAGGTCCATCCGACGTATCGCTGCTTGCAGGTTTTCTCGACGTTTCATGACCCCTAGAGTACGAAAAAATTGATCTCCCGTTTCCATCTGTCTGTCTGTCTGTGTCGATTTTTATTAGACGTGTAATTTCCGAAAGTACTGGGCCGATTGTTGTCAAATTGTATAAGAATGTATACTGAGAATATGATATATGATACAGATGGTTAAACGCTAACCAAAATTTGGGCAGTCATTTCCATCACCAGTGGGATGATGTCATTTCCAAAATTTACAATAGAAATTTTTTCCAATTTTACAAAATAAGATCCTCCTAAACTTATGGAGTATCAATCAGTGTTGAGTTTTCACTCAAGTCATCCAGATTTTTGAAAAAAAAAATCAAAATTGTATAACTACATTTTGTAATTTAACTTTGAAATTGAAATATATTAATTATGATGTATACAACGTCACATTTATCATTAGATCACTATCACTACCTTGCCGTAATCTTATGGAAAGCAGAAAAAAAATAAGAATATAGATTTGTTTAGCCGTTCATTTTGTGAGACATCCTCTTCAAACATCAAAACATATTATTATTAAAGATTAAAAGCAAGTCCGCATTTCAAAGAGATCATCTCTACTAAATCATCTTCCCCAATATATGGAACTGTATTTCTATTTAAAGTCTGTATTATCGGTTTTTAATTTGTCAGTCGACACTCGTATACATAGAATTGTCTGGAAAATTTAATGATAATATATTGTGTCTTATTTGAGGTAGAAAACACTTCCTTCAGTGACACCAGAGCCTCTATTAATGAGTATTCAAGTCTTCGTAGAAAACTGAGGAAACTTAATCGTTGCTGGATACATCGATTCCGAGAATTAAATTATAAGATTCGTTTCTCCGAGCTAAGTTTGACCTCTTTACAATCCGAAACCAGGGTAGAGTGATGCTGTTGTGTTTTGAGGCTTGAAAGTTACGTAACACTTTTATTGATCCGTCTCATTTCTTTATTATCAGTATTCATAAGATAAATAAAAACTTAAAAATTCTTGTCACACGAAGTACCTAAGTATTTGTCGAGTATCTACAAAGCCGTTACCTAGATTCTAATATCAAGTTGAAAGGAAAACGTTTTGTTAAATTAATAGTAAAGAGAACAATCGGAAAAAATTCTACTGTGTGAGCAAGACGAAATAAATTAAGAACAAAAAAAAAGGTTATTTTCATATATTTTTTTAAGTATTTCGTTAAAATAATAAGTACACATATGGAAAGTCAGACTAAATTTTTACAATTTTGTTATTGTATATTCATAAAAATTTTGTCTTTTGAGTTCATATTTTCAATTAAGAGTAGCATACATAAAAACTGAAAGTAAACTGGTTATCATTAAAAAATTGTAAATATATAGATAATATTGATTAATTACTGTAACATAATTTATTATAAAACGAACTACTGTATAGAAATCTTTAAAAAATTTTAAAAAATCTATTAGTGTATTAATTACAAAAACAATGGTATTTGAAGAAACCGCAAAAATTTAAAATAAAAAAACAAGAAAACGTGTATAAACCTAACATTAAATATCACTGTTAACATCTATTAAAATACATATTTGTTTATATACATACGATAAGTACAGAATTGTACTCCGCAACCATTAATCGTACAAGTTACCTCAAACCTACAAATTACTATGCAAAGAGTTGCAATTTTCGTAGGTACTAATTGGAGAAAACATCGGTGTATGCTGTGTAAACATTGCACCCTTATTTCCCCTATTCAATGTTTTGTGCTTTTTCGTAAAATACTATTACGATACCTGCATATTTCGGAGTTTCGCTAATTGTATAATAACTGTGGTTGTTTATAATTAAGATGATAACAGTTGCTTGTACAAACAATGCGCGAAATAGTATTTTAGTCCAAGAATATGAAATCATTTTAACGCGGCACTACCCGAGCTACAATAATTTATGAGCATTTAAAACGTTTCACGAACAAGTTTCACAGAAAATTGTAGGTATGCAGAACTGCATTTTCGAAAGTAAAATAATTTTAATAATAATATTTATTGTCAAACAGAGTACATCCAATGGTGACAATTTGAAAAAAAAAAAAAAACTATTCCTAATAGATTTAAGATAAAAATGAAAACAATTCTAAAGATAGCTGCATAACATCTGTATTTACATCGAGGGAGTTAATTGCTCGAGAGATATTGTCGATTATACAACAGTAAGTACCATAGTTTGTCTTATGAAAGTTTAACACAAAAGTTTCAGTACAACGACTAGCTGACCTTGGAACTCGAAACTGAAATAAATTGACCAATTCGGTGCAGTCAATTGTGTTCTTGAGCAATTTAAAACCAAAAATTATGTCACTTTTTACTTTTCTCGAGCCCAGAGTTTCTAGATTAGCTAACATTAACCTATGTTCATAAATATAGTTGTTTTTGTTCAATCCCACTTTAAAAATTAAGTAATTTACAAACTTGCGTTTAACAATTTTGTCGAATTGATTAATACTGATTTACTAATTATAATCTTCTATCTTATCACATAAATTATAACTTTTTATTTCCTCAATAAATTGTCTCTTGCTTAATTGCTCTTTAAACGTTTTGTTTTGAATGAAGGGACCTGAAAATAATCCTTTAATAAAATAATAATTAGTAGTTACTGTAGTAATACACACAACTAACTTTAAAAACAGACATATTTCTTCCTCTACTATAGTTAAAAATTTTCATTTTCTCATAGAAAAATATGACTTCAACACACTACCCACTATGTACTTCATTGATTAATTACGATTCTAATTTATTCGATTATTATAATTTTTCTCAAATGCATATGTCAACATAGTGTGTAACTAACAACAAATTATAAAATAAGTTCCAGAAGCCCAATATCCCGTTTCAAGACTAACCATATTAACAAAAGCGCCACTGACAATTAATTGGAACGGAATAAAATTAAATTAGAACTAAATAACTCTTTGAATACTACTACGCCTTAGAATTTTAAATTAAATTTATTTTGTTGCTGATTTTATTATTCATTGCCATCTTGTCAATATCCCCCTTACTGTAGTTACGACTCAATATAAGGTATAAATTTAAAACTGTATGAACATCCCCCTTTATTTGGCACATCCGACTCGTTTATTGATTGTTTGTTGCCCCATTTTAGTTCACCTGAAAGTGAATCCAATGTGCAGCTGCTTTTGAGCGTCAGTTAGAAACACTGTAAGAAAACCAATTACACCAAAATACAGTCTGCATCTTCAATAAATTTAATGTTCATCATAAATCAAAACTTACCGAATAAATAATGATCATAATAAATTTAACTAAAAAAGTATACTTTGGGAACTTGAGCAACTATTAAATTTAGACGAAAACCTATAAATATAAATTAACAAATTGATCCAAAGTTATTTAGACAGAACCTGCCTCGCCCCGGAAATATAATCAAACACATGAAGTTTCCTAGATAAATTATAAAATTTGATTTTGTAATGAAAACTTTCGACAGGTACATTGTAACACTATTAAGGACAGGACTGTATTCCCAAAATTTCGGGAAAACGAAGTAAGTCGCTCTTTATTTACCTAATAACAATAAATTTGTCCAATAATTGTTTTAATTACTCTCCATAACCAATTCTAAAAAATATGAATGGACTGATAAACCAAACAGTGAGACTCATAATATTATGCACATTTTAAACAAATTTATTCTGCAAAATTTTGCAATGATGTCATCGTTTTTGGAAGGGATGAACAGATAAGTTTTGATCAGCGATTTACCATGGTTCACGATAACCTTGCAAAATTTCAGAACATTGGGTTTACAGTCGTTTCACAATTTTGGTTATTTTTATAGATATTTAGATATCTAAAGTAAAAAATATAGGAGGATTTATGAACCACAAGTACACAATGTTTTTTTATAATTTTGCTTTAGAACAATTTAAGATGACGTAATCAAATTGTTAGTGGGGCTGATGAACAAATTTTGGTTAGCCGTTTATCATGTACCTACACGATATTTCGAGAATACATCTTAACATTTTACAACTTGTCCAGTAGTTTAGGAGATTATATGTCCAATAAAATGGCCACAGACTACTACAGATGACAACCAGACCATACAGAAACGACAGATAAACGAAAACGGGAGACCTACTTTTTCAACCTTACGGGTTATAAAACGTTGAGAAAACATGAAATTTGCCGTTCGCCAAATATACCCTATTACAATATTTCCCCAGTTTGCGTTGGGGAAAGAAAAAACGTTGGGCATAT